CGGTATCTTATCCTTCCCGTTTGCAGAAGTCTTCGCAGTCAACATCGTTGTTTATGTCTCCCAGTTCGCAGATGCGAACCACTTTTTCCAGTTCTCATTCGCGAACGACTATTCTCAGTACACAGGGTTGGTCGCCATTGGCTTCTCCCGGAGTGCAAGTGTGCTCCGCATCCAAAACCATCGACCCTTTAGAATCCGAACTGGATCATGACGAGGATACTACTGAACCTATGGAATCCCCATCAACTATTCAGAATGAGGTGAACATGCCTGTGAAGGAAGACAATGGAAGGTGTTCAGGTAAATTAGAACCAGCCCAAGTGGAGCCTCCCATTTTGGCAAAGCCAGTGATGAAGAATGATTCACAGACTAATGCCTTAGAAGGATTAGTTTTCACTAATTCAGATGACAAGTTTGTGAGGGAAGAATCTGCTTATCACAATCCAGCAGTTCCATCGCTCGGTCTGGAGCCTATTAGTTGGAGTCAACCATCCGCTGAGGATGTGTTCACAGAGGACTATGATGATCATAAGGAGCAATTCACAGTTGCAGCTGGACCTGAAGCTAGCGCACTGGATAATGTCTCCCCTGTTATGGTTGTTGAGACTCGCTTGTTGGCTCAGTCTCCTTCTAAAGGTCTTGAGTTCACTTGGTCCATTAGGGGACCAACTCCTTATGAAGATGTTGGGGTCTCAATAAGGATGACTAGGAAAGGTGTGGCTCCATTTCCTGTGGGCACCCTTCCGCTTGGTGTACAGTTAGTCTACTGATAAGTGGCAAGAAGACTGAAGGCATTTTCGTGAACCTGAACAGTGTATGGAAGGCTCTAGAAAATACAGATACTTCAGTGGGATCTTTGTAAGAAGAAAAATTAATCTACGGAGAAGGGCTTCTACAAGTTAACATGGCTTATGAGAATACTCCGAAGTCAAAGCACTTCCCTTGGGGATGGTATCAAGTCAAGATAAACCAAGCTGGGAAGTCAACTCGTACATATGAGGGTATGTACCCGAAAGGGACTAATGCTTGTAACTGATCAACTGAGGGGGCTGTTGAGGTTCCACCAAAGTTTCAGGATGATGCAAGTAGTCTAGAGCAAATGAGTCCATGAGAAGAATCTATTCAATTGTATGATATTGGCGGGAAGATGGGTGTATGTTCATGGGAATGGTTTCGGGTAAAGATTGGGGGTATCAAAGATAAAACCAGTGCTATTGACTTTATGGACTTGACTGTGGTGGATGTTGAAGGACAGGGCCAAGCTCCTTTGGGTGCAGATATTGTCTTGGTCCTGAATACCTGGGAAAATAAAGGGGTAGGGAATGATCCACAAATTAGTGCAATTGAAGGATCAATTTCCTGTCATTCCGATGTCAAGTACAGGGTGGCCATAAAGAACTGTAATTTGGTACTTTCTGATTCGGGACTGAAAAGGGCTGATGAGTTTGTGCTGGAATACCAGTCAGGTGGAATCAGTATGGATCCGGACTCTACTATCAAGGCTGCTGGAATTTATGTCTCCAATAGCGAGCACCGCATGGATTTATCTTTGAAAACAGAAGTTGTTAATAATATCAAAGTTGCTATAGAATTGCTGAATGGAATGAAAAATCTCTATGGAGCTTATCAAGGGACAGTCTACACTTATAATTCTCCTATGATGCAATCCAAAGAGGAGTTGAATACACGGCTAGAAATGATTAGCTTGCCCAGGGGCCTCTTTGCTATATCCAAATGTGAGATCCAGGAGGTTTTTTATCCAGTATTTATGGAAGTCCTAAAGAGGTCTACTGAGAGAACATTTCAAGTTCGGATGGATGTTCTAAAAAAGGTAATAGTTTGTTTGCTATGTGATCCCTTTAGAGATGAATAAACTCAGATTATTTCTATTTTAGGGGAAGATACTGCTGAATTATGAGTAAGATCTGGGTAAGAAAGTTGATGCGGTTCTCTATGATGTAGCAGCTGAAGTTACTACAAAGGCAGCTGGATTTTATCTTGCAGAACCTTTATATGATGATATGGGTTACAAAGAAGAGGCTTCAAGTGTAATCCCAGGGAGTTATTATATCCAGTTTCTGCCCATGTTTGATGCGAAAGATGTAAAGCTGAAAGGTCAAGTAATGAAGGTCATGATTAATCAAGCTGTGAGGTATTGGGAAGGAAGAGGTGGAAGGGTGAAGTGGAAGTGGAAGATCATGACTATTTCCTATCACCCACCTTGAGGACAAGGTGGTTGTTTAGGGAGGGAGTATTGATAGGAATACGACTTAGTAGGCTAAAAATAAGAAATAATAATAAAAATAATAAAGTACTTGTAGTAGTATATTTGGAAGGGAAGGGGTTATTAGTAATAGCTGGCATATCCTTATGTGGATATTGGCTATAAATAGATGGATTAGCAACAGTTGTAGGTAGGCTGTTATTGATGAATTGAGTGTTGCCTTGGAGAGTGGGCTTCTCGAGCAGTCCCATTGTTGCCTTGCTACCTACGGATTATCTTCCCTATCAAATAAACTTCATTATCTCTACTACTTTGATCGGATCTGCTATTTCCTTTAATGTTTTGCCTGTATCTTTGCTATTGTTCTATCACGTTATTTATGGAGACTTTTAGTATGTTACTGTGAACATGCCAAAGATGTCATTCCGGAGCTTTTTTGGCATTTGACCATAAGAGGCACATGGCTCTATAGGACAATGTCCAGAGACAATTCTAGCAATTGTTGGTAAAATTGTTCCGTCTCCTCATAAAAAAATATTAAATCAATTGTTTTACATATTTAATTATTAATACTTTTACTGAATAGAAAGATTAAAATTTCCCGACAACTTCTTCATCCCTTATCCATCTTCTACCATTGGGCTGCTCATTATGAGGCTGTGAGGAGGTCCCACCTCCACCACCACCAATTACATGAGATACTTGACAGAAAATGGGAGTGTCGGGTTGAGCCGAATTGTCATTGGACATAGAATCATTGTCCGGCGTCCGATGATCACGAGGGATTTGGCCTCGGCCATGGATTTGATTGGTTGAGTTACGAAGGAGTTTGTCATCAAAGATTTAAAAGGGTGAGTAAAATAAACTCTTACACAACACTGTTTTTAGCTATTTTAAAGATGGCAATGTTTTTTGAGAGATATGTACGTAGTAGCCTTTTATTTTAAAAAACTTGTGTTTTAAATAACTTTTGTTTTTAGTATAATTTTCTAACAATTTTTTAAAAAGCTTTTGTTTTAGTAACATGTTAAATGAAATAACTTTTTGGTAACACATTAAAGTGAAATTACAGTTTAATGTGAAAGAGAACATGTTAAATGAAATAACTTTTTGGTAACACATTAAAGTGAAATGACTGTTTAATGTGAAAGAGAAGATATTTTGAGGTATGGTTTCAATAAGTTTTTTATGTTATCTCAATTCGCTATCAAAAACTTAAATCTTTTTGTAACTCATTGAAATTTGCTATGAAAATTGGGAAATTTCTTAAATAGATTTTAATTAATAGGCATGTGCAGTCCGAAAAAAACCCTAAAATCGAAACATAGATTCACAGTGTGCAGATGAAGATCAACAATATGAATTTAGAAGATGAAAACATAGCTAGGGTATGTTTGGCATAACTAGCTGAAAAGATACTTTTATGAGCTTTAGTAACTGTTAGCTTTTAGTGACTGAAAATATCTTAAAAAGAAAAGGCAGTAGCTGTTTGGTAAAAAGATGACTATGTGATTTAGCTGTGTTTGGTATACAAGCTGTTAGGACTGAGGATATGTTTTGGCAGACATAAGTCTATGCCTTCTAGCTTTTGTACTATTCAAAAAGTCTTTAAAAGCTTCTAGTTGTATGTTTGGCATGCCAATTTTTAAGAGTTTTTATAAAAATAAAAGATCTTTTTTTAGATGCTACAGTGAGTAGCATCTCAGATAAGTCAGTAGCTTCTAGTATTAATTAGTCTTAAAAGTTTGTATACAAAACAAAGCTAAATCAAACAGTGAGCTTTTTACCAAACATGTACTGTCTTTTCTTTTTAAAATCTTTTCAGTCACTAAAAACTAACAGTTACTAAAAAAACTCATAAAAGTATCTTTTCAGCTAGTTGTGCCAAACATACCCTAATTAATGATAGAAGTTACGGACTTATCTGAGATGCTACTCACGGTAGAATCTCAAAAAAGATCTTTTATTTTTATAAAAGCTCTTAAAAATTGGCGTGCCAAACATATTACTAGAAACTTTTAAAGACTTTTTAAATCGTACAAAAGTTAGAAGTCAGAAACTTATGTCTGCTAAACATAGTCATATATTCAAGAGGAAAAGATGCATTAATTCGTACCGACAAAACTGAATCATGTCTTAATTTAGAAATTAGAGTACTATAAGATCGAGAGTAGTAACTTTTATTTAATATTTTTTATCTTAAAGACCACCTTTTCGTGCTCTTTTACGTAAGTACGTACTCCGTAGTAGTTAATCATTAATTACTTAATTTTTCTTGATTTTCATCATTTATCTTTATAATGATTTAAATTGTAAGATGTAGCAATTCTACCCTTAGCTTAAATATACGTAGTATATATGTATAAACATTAGGAGTATATTAGGATATATACTATCGTGTACTAGTGCAAATATAAAATTAATGATCAACCTACTACCATCACAATATATTTACTACCTCCGTCTCATCACTAACACTAACACAAGAACACATGACACAGTTATTAAGAAAAATGAGTAGTTTACGTGGTTATTATTGAATTGATAAAGTGTGGAATAAACTAAAATTGATTTAGAGTTACACAAATTTTACGAAATGAGACAATTTTAGTGAGATTTCTCGAGAAGGAAAAATGAGACAATCTTAGCAGGATGGATTGGGTATTACTTATTCCTATGTTATGATTAATATTTTATTAATTAGTGTTATAGTATACGTAGTATATACTATGTATAACATTGTTTGAATGGAAGAATGAAGAATGACAACCAAGTGATCGAGATTGCTTGCAAGGTTCAACTTAAAGACACATACTAATAACATGAAGAAGATCAATGGCTCAAATACCCCCCTCCCCCCTTCCCCTCTTCATGACTTATCTACTAACAGGAGAGGGTCTCCCTTCCGCTCTTCATGACTTCTCTACTAACAGAAGAGGATTTGGGTGCAGGTAAGGACGTTATAAGCCTATCATTTATGAAATCTGCTGCAATGAGGTCTCCAAGGGCCATGTAAATCAGAATTTCAGCTGAGGCCGAGTTTAACAAGCCCTCCACAATTAGGACCGTTGGGCTATTTTCGTTGTAGATACGTGAGATCCCGAACCTAATTGCTATTCCGATTGGAGTTGTAAAGCAGAAGGATATTGCCATTAATATTGTAGCACATGTTGCGTATTGTGTATGTACGGTTTACAAAAATATGACTAACGTTATTATGAGTGTTATAGTAATTTAAGTATAAAGTTTACACTTTAGCAGCAATTACAGCACACTCATAATAATGTTAGTCATATTTTTGTAAACCGTACAAGAACAATATGCAACACGTGCTACAATATTAATGGAAATATCCTTCTGCTTTACAACTCCAATTGGAAAAGCAATTGGGTTCGGGATCTCACGTATCTACAATGAAAACAACCCAACAGCCCTAATTGTGGAGGGCTTGTTAAACTCGGCCTCAGCTGGGATTCTGATTTACATGGCTCTTGTAGTCCTCATTGCAGCAGATTTCATAAATGATAGGCTTCAACGCAATTTAAAGCTTCAAATTGAAACTAATATCTCACTTCTACTAGGAGCAGGCTTAATGTCACTCTTATCCATTTGGGCATAATCATTTGTATATATACGAGAAAATTAAACATCTCTCTACATGATATAAGAATAATTGTAATTATGAGAGATCAAGAACTTACATCTCGTGACAAAAATAGCACTTTGGGTAGACTTAGTAGACTCTTTTTGTGACGTTGGATATAATTAGCTTAGGTCAAGTTTCATGTGATGGGGAGTAGTTGTGTGGAACTGCCTCTTAGATCTTAGATTTGCTAATGCATTTTTTTATTACAATTTCTGATATGTATGCATAAATCCTAATGCATATTTGGTTTGAGACTTTATTTGGGTATAATACTTGCTATTAAGTACTCGGCTAGTGGGTGCTTTGTGGAACATTCCTTTTCTTTTGGTCACAATAGACTTCAAGTTGCCCATGGAATGGTTAGCGAATTGTTGTGCTTATACCATATACAATTCTATGTCTAATCCTAGGGTAGGTGATCGAAATGAGAGTGCTTGTAATCATGTATTTTCTGCGAGTTTTTAATGATATAATATAAGCTTTCTTCTTTAAAAAAAATAGTTCATTTAAAGAAGCGAAGCCTATTTGAATTTTAATGCTTTATAGTTTGAAATAAACAATAGGAATTGCCAAAGTATATGACTCCAGATAACATTTATACCCCTTATCCCAAAAGTCATCGACCGACTCTTCCCCTCCTAACTCCTGCAATTTCTCCCTCCCCATTGATCTCCACCTCCATCGATTGCAGCCCCTCCCTTGCGACTTTGTCATCGAAGCGATCCGCTTGCGACTTCTCTGACGAAATCAGGTCTCCTCCTCCCCCTCCACTTCTTTCTTCTTCCTGCTCCATTTTCTTCCTGGTTCTCTGTTTTTGTTTTATCTATTAATTTGATTACTCTCAAAATTCTAAATAATATTTTGGATTTGAAAATTTTAGATGAAGAGTCAAATTTCTATGAACAACAAGTAAAAGAAATGCGTTTGAATTTTTATATATTTAATTTTTGATTAATTTCAAATATGAGAAAATCATAACTATTTTGTATTAGAAAAAATGTCACTTTTTGAATCTGACAATGCCTATTATTAGAAAAAATTCCACTTTTATGGCATTATATTTATAAAGATGACAATACTATGTTTGGCTTGTTTGTCAAATGATTCAGTTTTATGACATTGAATGTATAAAGATGTCATTTTTATAGGATGATTACATAATTTCCTACGAAAAATGCCACAATTATCAATATGAAAATACCTTTATTTTCATCTAAAATTTATATACTTTTTACAGCTGAATATGTCATCTTTTTATACGAAAATGTCATTGTTATGTCATTATTCTTAGGAAAAATAATTTTAAATAATACAAATTATCTTCCATGAACTAAGAATAATACGTACTTTGAAAATAACTTGTAATAATATCAACTATTTAAATAGTTGATATTATTGTTATATAGAGCATTATTTCACCAAAAAAAAGTCATTTAATTCACCAAAAACTAATATTAAAATATCAAATAAGTGAATGTATTTCCGGATATCATTTATTTGATGGTTTGCAATTAGTTTGTGATGTCTTAAATGACTGGATTTCTTGTTAAAAAGTGACTCCATATTATTTTTGTTTTACATAGTTGCTATTATTAAAAATCACTTTCAAGTATGTATTATATTGGTTGATGAGTGATGGTTGATATTATCTAAAGTTACTAGTATCGTACTCGTGCGATGCACGGATAAAAAAATATTCATTTTTATTTATGGTGTAATATATATTGGAATATTAATGTAAGAGTGTAAGACATGCACATTTATTATAATGAAAGGAAATATTTTAAAGTCTTTACATTAAGTGCATAGACAAAAAAATGTACTTATAAGACACTTTATTGATTACATGGTCTTATGTGACTATTTCATAATAGTAGAAGATGAAAAGATGGTTAGAAGTACGCTGAAACCGGAATTAAGAGGTGTTAAATATGTCATTAAGACTCATTTGATTGCTTTTTAGAAGTAGATGTACTTATAATACACTTTATTGAGTACATGACCTTATGTGAATATTTCATAATAGTCAGGGGCGGACCGTAGTAGAGACCCAGGGGGGCTACCGCCCCCCCAACAAATTTTTTTTAGTGTATATATATACGAAAAATGATTTTTGCTCTCTCAAAAAGTATTTTGAACCCCCCCAAAAATATTTTCGCCCCCCCAAAATAACTTTCCTGGGTCCGCTCCTGATAATAGTAGAAGACCTTATTTGACCATTTTCTCTAGACCAAACTACACATTTTTTAAAAACTTCCCGATATATAAAAACTACACTTTATTTGAGATATTGTTAGAATTGCTTGGTAACGCTTGAATAGCGCAGCCTCATACAATTGACCACGACAAAATATATGATTTTTTCAAGAGTAATCCATCATGACTCATGAAAGACAGCTCATCAGATACCGCCGTAAGAAATTGCTTGCGCTGAAACCTAAAACACATTCTACGGAGTTATGTACAATCTTTATAAATAATAAAAAAAATGATACCAAATTTGGCACCGAATAATATATTTTTTGTCCTAGTCATTAGACATATATACATATATGGATTTAATATCTAGGAAATAAAAACAAAAAGTAGTTACACATTTTAATAAAATTTTATAATAAAAAGCTATTAGTGAACTACACAAAGTGAGGTTAGTGTTTTTTAAAGGAAATCATCCATATCATTAAAATCAGGATCGTTACATCAATCACAAAGTGATCACTACTGACTACAACATTCACCTTCCAACTACTACTATTAGCTCTACGATTAGACATTGAGACGGTCACTCCCGAAGGAGCAATACGAATCGCTAACCACCAAACGGGCTTAATGCAGCTATAGTTGAACAAATAGATCCGTCCATCACTAACCATATCAAATCTAGCCGAATCCTCATTCATCGTACTAAACCTAGCACCATGACTCATAGAGTATATAGACTCGGACCCTCGGGTTTCACGACTATTGAGCCTGGACAGCGGCTCACACACGCTTATCGGATGTCTTTTCTTGTATTGTATTGTTCATATATCATATGTATGTACTAGATTAGCCTTTTATGTAGTTGGGCCTATCGGACCCATATTAGCGGCCCGGCCCATTATTTCTCTATTTATACTCCTTTTGGAGTCACATGTAAACCCTAGAATCAATATTACACAAGCAATATCACTATTCATCATCTTCTTCCTCTCTATAGCTCAATCTCTCCGTTTAATTATATGTTTGGATACCCCTATAATCCATCAATGGTGGTCTCGTTGAGAGTTTTGAGCAAAATCAAGTTAGATTCCTCCCAAAATATCCAAAAATTCATCCCAATTACAAGAAATGAGCCAAAATTGTTCTGGAAAAATCAAAAGAAAAATCAAGGAGTGAAGAAATCTGGAAAAATAGATCTAGAATTCCAAATTCTAAGAAAGAAAAAATAAAGAAATCAGAAATCAGATCTTTAAACTACCCCTTTAATGTTTTTAAGTCTCACATTATTTCTGTTTCTATGAAGACCATCTATGGCGGCCGAGGTTGAAAAGTGGCGGGGAAAAAGAGTATACAGAGAGGTGGTTAAGTGAATTTAAGGTCAAATGTGCATTCCCTATAAATTTCCCAACAGGATTCAAAAAAGGAGCAGGGTTTAAGGAGAAATTGAACAATTGGCAACGAATCTCATACATAAAGCCATATGAGAAAACGAACATAGTTAATGTTCGTAGTTGTGGAGGAGTAGAGAGGTATGAGAAGAGAGCCGTGGGAATCATTCACGAACTCTTGAGTTTAACCGTAGAGAAGATGGTTCGAGTTGAACGGTTAGCTCATTTTCGAAAGGATCTAGGAATTGAAGTGAATATCCGCGAGTTGTTTGATTCTCAAATAGTTTATCTGAGAGAAGCATATGACAGTAAAGGATGTTTGATTGAGCCAAACAGAATTTACAATGTTAGAAAAAAAGTTGGAGGTAATCTTACTGGGAAGCCGAAATACTAGAGGATTGAACTTGGAAAGGGAAGTACATGAGAAAGAAACAAGGATTGTCAAAGGGGATGAAAACAAAAGTAGCAAGGTAGATGGTGACTTTGTCATTTCAATTCTAGAGAAGTGTTGATTATAAATTGATAAATTAGTAATCTAAAGAAGTGTTGATCTATTTAGTTCTTCTACAAGAACGAATACATCCGTTTTATTTTTTATTTGTCTATTGCATAAATGTAAGTTTACTGTGTTTCTTTCTCATCTTCATCTCCACTCTAAGCTCAAATGTACCATTCACTATGTTTGGAGTTACCGATGTAAAGTTTAAAATAATATACATTGAACGGCTTCATCTTTATATATACATTGAATTGCTAGGGAAATCATAGACATGAAGGTGGATGAAGGTCAGTGCTACTTAGTCTGCACATGTTGTGCCAGAAAAGCTGCACTAAAAATGTTAATAGCAATCGCAAAAACAGAGAAGAGATTATCACGAGGTTTGTATAATTGTTTGTTTATACTCCCTCGGGTTCTGAAAGATCTTTACACTTTGACTTCACAAATACGATAGTATTAAGGAGTTTGACACTGTTTGGCACTGTTTGACAGACCCGGTTACATAAATGGACTGAAAGTATAAAAAGCTAATCTAGAACATCTGAATATTAATAATGTACAATAATATGAATAATATCCGTTAAACGTGTGTGAGTCGCTGTCCATGCCCAGTAGTCGACAGACCGGAAGGTCGGAGTCCATATACTCCATCACAGAGTATAGGAGCAATTAGAGGGTGGAGGAGGTTACGTGATTTTTTTTAACAAAAAAATGTACCATTTTGGGTTCGGTAAACTTTAAGGACAGTGTGCCAATCCCACTGTTAAACAAGGATTTACCGAAATTTTCGGTATACCTAAAAGTTCAGTACGGTATGATACCATACCGGGTCACTTCGGTACGGTAAAGGTATGGACTTTTTAAAATTTTCGGTATATCAGTATATACCGAAATACCGTTAATTTTCGGTATGGTACGGTATATACCTAAATACCGAAATAGAATTTGTAAATTTTTAGGGCCAAACCCATTAAATGAAATTATTAAAATACCAAGGCCCAAAATTAAAATAACCCATCTTATAATACTACGGCCCTTCCCAGTTCTCCCAAGTAGAGATCTAAATCCCTAATCAAATAAATGGGAGAATTTGAGTTTGCACCCCATGTTTTGGGTGATATTTGACTTTGCACTCCATTTTAAAAATCATTAATGTATGCACCCCATTAGCCCAAAAATTGTGAAGGAGTGAGATGCAAAGTCAAATGATTTTATAGTGAATTGGGGTGCATACATTAATGATTTTGAAAATAGGGTGCAAACTCAAATATCACCCAAAACATGGGGTGCAAAGTCAAATTCCCCCCAAATAAATCAACTTAGAGTCAAGCAGCTTCTCTTCTCTTCAACGAGTGGCAGAACTGCGGACTATTGAACATTGACGATGGAGATGCGGACGAGTGACGGAGAGTGCATCTTGATCGTGGGTTGACTTTTTCAAATTGCCGAAGAGTGCATCTCGATTGAGTGCTCTTAATCGTGTTTTTTATGCATTTTTTAAATTATGAGGGATTGATGCGTATAATTATATAATTTTATACGTACATTAAATTCTAAACTTTTTAAAATTTGACAATAATTCCACACACAATACATCACTAAGTAAGGTCGCTACAATACAAAATCTATCTATTTATATATAAGAAAAGATATAACTTATAAAATGACAATTTTATCCCTAAAAAGCACATGTGTCCTGCAACCCAAATTTCACTCCCTTGTTATACAGCTACCACATGGCTCATTTTCCATACTCAAGCACCCAAGGAAGCCCGCACCGCCAACTAAAAAGAAATCCAATTATGGGGTTCAAGGTATAAAAACCTCTCATTTCTTTAAAATGTTACAACTTTTTCTTTTTTACTTTAGTTTTTACCAAAAATATATCAAATTTTATAATTTTTCAAGATCTATCATTTGACATCAATATTGCATATATAAAAAATTTAAATTTTTTGAAGTTTTATTAAGCAACATTTCTATTTCCGACCTTGATATGGATTATTCATCATTAAATAAAAACTTCTTCGGTCCCACTATAATTGTCTCACTTTTCTTATTTCCCTCTGTCCCACTAAATTTGTTTCATTCTATATTTGGTAATATTTGTGTGGCTCTAATTCATTCTTACTTTAATTTCACTATCAACTCATTATCAACCACATAATTCAACTTTTCTTAAAAATAACATCACTCTCTTCCGTTCCAATATTAGAGGGACAAAAGTAGTAAAAGATTTATAATATATGATCAAAATAAAATAACAGATAAAAATATGACTTTTAAGCAAAATCATTTGAAGGGATTAAAACAAAATGTACATTTCTAAAGACTAAAAGCATATTTAATTAAAACCCTTTACATTGTTTATATTTGTTCTATTGTACTTAAATATGGTCTGGTCTGATAGTGAAAGCAAATCAATTAAAAATGTTACACTATCTGTAGAATGTGAAATTTAAATATAAATGTCGTTCTAGGAAATAAGATTTTTACAGGTGACAGTAAAAAGTACTATGTATAAAATATCACATCTTATTAAAATTTTTACTGTGTTTAAACAATGAAAATCTTCAAAAAAAATTAAAATGTTAAGATAATGTCAAACTTGCTAAAGTCACACATACATTATATGCATTGCCTTCCATGAGATAATACTTTTAGAGGTGAGTCATATAATTTTTGTAAAACAATGTTCATATAGTAAAAAAATGTCACACTATTAATAAAATGGGAAGTATAAATCTCACATTTCATCTTCAGGATAGATATATGTGGTCTACAACATTTCACTTTATTATACTCGAATATGATACCATTAAATGGTACCATATATGAAAGTGAGAGGTCACAATAATACTCGGTGGAAACATTGGTGTGCTAATAATAGAACTATAATTGGAATCTACTTAGGTACTAATAAAGTATAGTTATTTCAATAATTCAAAGGCTAGAACGTTGATTAAACTCTTTACATGTAAATGTGGTAAATATAATTAGAAGCATTCTCTAATTTTTTTGTTAACTAGATATATATGTCAATTCTATAAAATAATGACAATGTTGAAATAATGTAAAATTTGCTTTAAAAATTAACATATATACATTATATGTATTGCCTCCTTGAAATAATATTTTCTGGGGTGAATCATATTATTTTTGTAAAATATTTTCCATACAGTAGAAAAATATCACACCATTGGTTGAATAACAAATTCACATATAAATATCGTATTAGGAATTATTACTATTATTAATTATTATTATTATTATCATCATCATCATCATCATCATCATCATCATTATTATTATTATTACGGAGTATTACTATTATTATTATTATTATTATTATTATTATTATTACTATATAATGGACCATGAAAGAAGCACTATAGTCGATTATCAACTGGAATAAGAATTGAAGCCAAATCAAATTCAATTCAGATACATGAAAATAACTTGTCAATCAAAAGTTCACACTATTCATAATAATACACCTGCAGAGCAAAAATTCTTGCATTTGAAAAGATATAATCCATACAAACAAAAAACTCAAACCCTAACAATCTAACTGTGGAAAGTAAATTAAAACGGAATTATGTAATTAAGTAATGAAGATGTGGAAAACCCTCTCGGCGCATCACCAATTAAAACAGAACAACAATGACATCAAGGAACTGTTTAGAGAAAACTAAATGGTGCATAACCTCTCGGCGTGGAAGAATTGAGTGCTCTTTTGAACTGCTATGACGGGCTGATAAGGTATTGACTTGCTCAGTTATGCGAAAGAGGATACTTTTATCTCTCATGTATAGTGCTACTTGATATAAGGTAAGATAAGTCGGCTAACAATTGAGCGGGAATTTTTTTTCTCTGATAAGCAGTTCTTTTAGGTATAAGATAATCCAGCTAACAATTGAGTGGGAGAACTTTCTCTATCATATATAGTACTTTTAGGTATAAGATAAGTCGACTAACAATTGAGCGAGAATTTTTTTCTCTGATAAGCAGTTCTTTTAGGTATAAGATAATTCAGCTAACAATTGAGTGGGAGAACTTTCTCTATCATATATAGTACTTTTAGGTATAAGATAAGTCGGCTAATAATTGAGCGGGAGAATTTTCTCTCTCATATGTAGTACTTTTAGGTATTAGAAGATAAGATTGCTAATAATTGAGCAGAAAGTTTTTTATCTCATATACATGTAGTTCTTTAAAGTATAAAATAATTCGCCTAACAATTGAACGGGATAATTCTCTCTCACATGTAGTGCTTTCAGGTATTAGAAGATAGAAGATATAAGTCAGTTAACAATTGAGTGGGAAACTTTTTTCTCTCATATGTATTGCTTTTAGGTATTATTAGAAGATAAGCTTGATAATAATTGAGCGACTGAACTATCTCTCATATGTAGCTCTTTGAAATATAAGATAAGATATGCCGACTAACAATTGAGCAAAAGAATTTTCTATCTCGTGTGTAGTATTTTTAGATATAAGATAAATTTGTTAATAATTGAGCTGAAGAATTTTCTCTTTCATATGTAGTGTTTTTAGGCATTACAAGATAAACTTGCTAACAATTGAACGTGGGAATTTCCTCTCTCATAGGTAGTTCTTTTAAGTACTACCTTCGTCCCACTAATATTGGGATGAAAGGGCGTGGTACAATTATTAAGAAAAATGAGTTTATGTGGCTGATATTAATTGATAAAGTAACAATAAAGTAAGAATGATTTAAAGTCACATAAACTTTACCAAATTTGGTATGAGACAATTTTAGTGAATTTTCCAAAAGAAAAAATGAGACAATATTAGCTGGACTAACAAATTTGGTATGAGACAAAAGTAAGAATGATTTAAAGTCACATAAACTTTACCAATATTAGGGAGTATAAGATAAGATAAGCCACCGGCTAATAATTGAGCGGGTTAATTTTCTTTCTCTTATGTAGTGTTTTTAGGTATAAGAAGATAAGTCAACTAACAATTGAGAGAACAAATTTTTTCTCTCATAAGTAGTGGTTTTAGGTATAAGGAGATAAGCTTGTTAATAATTGATCGGGAGAATTTTCACACTCATATGTAGTGCTTTTAGGTATTAAAAGATAAGCTTGCTCACACTTGAGCTGGGAAATTGAGCTGCAGATTTTCTCTCTTATATGTAGTCTTTTAGGTATTAGCTAGAAGAGAAGTCTGCTAACAATTGAGCGGGATTACTTTCTCTCCATATGTAGTTCGG